CGGCCCTACTCTGTGCGTGACGGGGGGAGCTCCCCAACCCCCTGATTGGCCCTGCTCTGTGCATCACAGGGGGTGGCCCCTCAACCTCCCCATCGACCCTGCCTTGAGTGTGATAGGGGGCGGTGCCCCAACCCCCCAATCAGCCCTACCCTGAGCGTGACTGAGGGTGGCATCGCAACCTCCCAATCCGCCCTGCTCTGTGCATGACAGGGGGGAGCTCCCCAACCCCCTGATTGGCCCTGCTCTGTGCATCACAGGGGGTGGCCCCTCAACCTCCCCATCGACCCTGCCTTGAGTGTGATAGGGGGCGGTGCCCCAACCCCCCAATCAGCCCTACCCTGAGCGTGACTGAGGGTGGCATCGCAACCTCCCAATCCGCCCTGCTCTGTGCATGACAGGGGGGAGCTCCCCAACCCCCTGATTGGCCCTGCTCTGTGCGTGACAGGGTACGGAGCCCCAACCCCCCTGATGGGCCCTGCTCTGTGTGTGACAGGGGGCAGTGCCCCAACCCCCTGATTGGCCCTGCTCTGTGCATCACAGGGGGTGGCCCCTCAACCTCCCCATCGACCCTGCCTTGAGTGTGATAGGGGGCGGTGCCCCAACCCCCCAATCAGCCCTACCCTGAGCGTGACTGAGGGTGGCATCGCAACCTCCCGATCTGCCCTGCTCTGTGCATGACAGGGGGCAGCGCCCCAACTCCCCAATCAGCCCTGCTCTGAGCCCGACCAGGGGCTGCACCTAGGGATTGGGCCTGCCCTCTGCCACCCGGGAGCAGGCCTAAGCCAGCAGGTCGTTATCTCCTGAGGGGTCCCAGACTGCAAGAGGGCACAGGCCGGGCTGAGGGACCCCCCCTTCCCCCCCGAGTGCACAAATTTTTGTGCACCGGGCCTCTAGTATATAATAAAAAAATAAAGTGCTGATAGAGGAGCTGCTCCCTGATTCCAAGGGCAAGTTCTCACAGAGCACTCCTCACCCCGTTACACCTTTAGCTGTGAAACCCCTCCAAAGCCAGGCACATCTGAGGTGCTAACATGAAGTTGGGTTATGAGTAGGGACATTGGCTCCAAGTTTCTGGGCTGACAGGGGTTACAGTGCTCTTGTGGGGACATATGACACAACACATTTATCCAACAAATCTTTGCAGAGCACCCACTGTGTGCTAGGCCCAGGTGCTGAGTGCTGGTAGCAGCATCCTGCCCTCAGAATGGCTGAGCTCCATTGGAGCTTTGCAACTGCCTTACCTCTTGGGGAGGGTCTACTCTAGGCTGGACATCTATGGACCCCTGATTGTGCTCTCCCCCCCTCCACATTTTATTATGAATATTTTAAGACATAAAACTTGAAGAATTGTACACTAACAACTATATATCCACCACAGACTTTACAATTAATATTTTATCTGCTTTACCACATATCTATCCATCCAGCCCCATGTTTAACCATTAACTCACATTTTAAACTGTTCTCTTGAATAGTCGAAACTCTTACACCCCCTAGGAGACCAGCCAACTTACCCACTGCAGCTTTGCACATAGGGGCCTCTCCTCTCTCTTGGTTCAAACTGGACAACAAACAGGCTGTAGACACCAGGGCTTGCTCACATGATCCCCAAGGCATGGAGGTTGTCAAGAGATTTAATGACTGTTACCCTTCTACCAGCATCCTCTGTACAAGGTTGGGCAGTCACCAAGAGTGCACACCTTGCCCTCCTTTGCTCCAGTCCCTTCCCAGGCATCATCTCATCATTAAGAGTGTGGTCTTCAGCCCTAGCAAGTTTTGCTCAGTGGTTAGAGCGTTGGCCTGTAGACTGAAGGGTCCTGGGTTAGATTCTGGTCAAGGGCACGTACCTCGGTTGCTGGCTCCCAGCCCTGGTTAGGGGCATGCAGTAGGCAACCAATCAATGTCTCTCTCACATCGGTGTTTCTGTCTCTCCCTCTCTATTCCACTCTCTCAAAAAATCATGGAAAAAACATCCAAGGGTGAAGATTAAAAGAAAAAAAGAGTGTGGTCTTCAGAGCCAGACAGATGAAGGTTTGGGTCCAACCACACCATGTGCTGGTGGGAGAGTCACCATCTGTGATTCCTGTTCTAAAATGAGGAATGATTCACAACTTGCTAGAACCCGTCCTGGCCACATGACCCTGGCTCTCTGCTGGTACAGCTGGACATTCCCTCCACCAGTCAGGAACACTCCTGGGTGCTGAGCAGGCTTCTCTGAGTCTGGTGCCTGTGATAGGCCTGGGAAACTTCCCTGATCCAGGCCACCAGCTGGTCACCATAGACCTAATTTAACCATAACTCCTTAAGACCCATTGCTCAGCCCTTGGGATGTGAAGTCAGTGGTTCAGATAGTCAATCAGAGGCCAGGTTTTAGGGGATTGAGGGGGTATGAAACCCACATCTGGGCTCCTTCTGATAAGTCCAGGCCTGGACTGAGGACCTTGGCCCAGAGAGACCTTGCTCCAGAAGAGAGCGTGGGACAGGGCTGTGCCCATACAGCTGGCCTGGCCTCATGCCTGGGACTTTAGCCCAAGGACAAGGAGATCCATAAAGCCAGGCCCATCTCAGCCTCATGCCTGCCACAATGCTGCTGCTCAGTCTGACCCTTACCCTGACCCTGCTCGGCTCCTCATGGGGTGAGTAGGCCTGGACCAGCCCCGGGTTCCAGCACCAGCTCAGGCTTCCTGCCCAGGGGGCCAGGCTGGCTGGAAGGAAGGCAGGTGGACAGAGTGGGTAAAGGAAAAAGGATGTGCCAAGACCATGAGGAAGCAAGAGGTGGACAGGAGTTCAGTCCAGGCCCAGGAGCTAGAGAAGGTGTAGGAAGCTGAGAAGTGAAGGATGGATTGTAGTTTAGGAAGAACCTTCTGGCTGCATGGAGCATGGAGTGGGTAGAGAGGCCAGGATATTATCCTAGGGGTCAGGAAGACAAGTGGCCTGGGCTGGAGGGTGGGGACGGAATTGGGGAACGGTGGGGAGTACGTTGGAGAAATGGAGAGTGGACAGCACTTGGGGACTGGTTGGGTGGGAATGACTGGAAATGTGCAGGGGCCCAGAAGGAGCTCAGGGTGAAAAGGGATAGTGATGAGTCCTCTGGATTTGGACCCCTCTGGGGTGCAAAGCTGAGGGCATCTGGAAGGAGGATGGGGGAGAGGTGGGCTGGAGTGTAGAAAACAGGTCCTCACCAACCCAATCGCCAGGCTGTGGCATTCCTGCCATCAGACCGGCACTGAGCTTCAACCAGAGAATTGTCAACGGGGAGAATGCAGTGCCAGGCTCCTGGCCCTGGCAGGTGTCCCTGCAGGTACATGCACCCTGGGGGTGGGACAGGATCCCAGGTGCTTCACGCCTAGGCAAAACCTGAGTTCCCCTCCCATTTCTGATCCCTGACCCCAGGATAAAAACGGCTTCCACTTCTGCGGTGGTTCCCTCATCAGCCCGTCCTGGGTGGTCACTGCTGCCCACTGCAATGTCAGGTGAGTGCTT